CCTACATCTTGAATACTGCATACAGATGTGGTCGCCTCATCTCAAAAATGATATATTGGCATTGGAAAAGGTTCAGAAAAGGGCAACAAAAATGATTAGTGTTTTGGAATGGACTTTTCATCTTAGAAATGAGGAGAGAAAGAGGGGACATGACAGAGGTCTATAAAATCATGACTGGTGTGGAAAAAATGAATAAGGAAAAGTTATTTACTTATTCCCACAATATAAGAACTAGGGGTCACCAAATGAAATGAATAGGCAGTAGGTTTAAAACAAACAAAAGGAAATTTTTCTTTACTCAGCGCATAGTCAACCTGTGGAACTCCTTGCTAGAGAATGTTGTGAAGATTAGGACTTTAACAGGGTTCAAAAAAGAGCTAGATAGATTCGTGGAGGTTAGGTCCATCAATGGCTATTAGCCAGGATGGGTAGGAATGGTGTCCCTAGCCTCTGTCTGGAAATGGGTGACAGGAGAGGGATCATGTGAGGATTACCTGTCGTGATCCCTCCCTCTGGAGCATCTGGTATTGGCCACTGTCGGCAGACTGGTTACTGGGCTAGATGGATCTTTGGTCTGACACAGTATGGCCATTCTTATGTTCTTATGAGCTGGGATGTTTCTCCCTCAGTCTCACCTGCAGGAATTCACTTGCTGGCTTCTGACACTTCCCCTCCAGCTCACTGATCAGCTCACAGAGATAGGAAATCTGTGCAGAGAGTTTGCTGACAGTGTCAGTCTGACGCCTCCCAACCTCCTCGTCCAGCTTCTCCAGTTGGGCCAGCAGCAGTCGCTCTTGAACCTCCAGGAACTGCCGCAGCTGCTGAAACTCAGCCATAATCCTCTGCCTCTTGGCTTGTGTCTGTTTCTGTATGAAAACAGGGAAAGGGCTGGTAGGGGCATGGATGTAGCCCGGGGCCCTTTCATGGAGAGCTAAGTAAGCAACAGGGAGAACTTGGAAACCCTCAGATTTCTGACCTGTGAGTACAAGGCAAAGGAGTCTCTCCCAGTTTCCCCTTTGGCCCCATGTCCCTCTGAAAGGGATGGTCCCCCGCCTGTCATGGGCAGCGTGTTCTGTTATTCATGGGTGCTGGGAATTCATACCCAGAGCAGCAGGAGGGAGGACTCCCACTGCCAGTCCCTGCCAGTTCATACCCACAGGCACCTACCAGATACTCTTGGCTTCTCCTCTCTCCAGCCGCTTTCCATCCTAGCAGCTTTTCTCTCTCTTCTCTCAGAATGACCAAATGAGCCTCAATTTTTTTCTGAAGAAACAGACATGAGTCGGGAAGTTTCACTGTGAGTATGAGGGGAGTGGAAAAACATCCAGTTCTACAAAAACCCATGATACTGTTCCTCCCAATCACTTTGTGACATCAGGGTCCCCAAGAAGATGAAATCTTATTAATGGTCACTGGGAGTGTGCCATAGACTGACTTGTTACCCATTCAGGTTCAGTTATTTTAGTAACTGCAAACAGATCTCCATTATCACCAAGCTTTATTGGTATTTATGGATTGTTTATTGGTACAGTGTGCAACAGGACACTGGAGTCCCATGGAGTAACCAATATACCCATATTTGAGAGAGTTTAAATTGCAGTGGTTGGACAGAGCTCGTCTAGGCACCAAGGAAATCCACATGAAATGCAGGGAGGCAATGTGTGTGGTTTTAAGCAGCAGAGTCCCAATTTGCGGAGTTCTGTCCCCTTTCAGTAAGGACTCAGCACTGGACATGGCTTTATCTGGTGAAAAAGAGACAGGAGGAGACTGAAGATGCAGAAGGACACCTGTGAGGGTGGGGAAGTGGAGGTGGCTATTCACTGCAGATTGATGTTGGTGGGGGTGCAATGACAAAGGCCAACCAATAGGGATGCTGGTGGGCCCAGGCAGGCAGACGTGGGGCTGTCTTGTATTCTGGGAATGCCTCAGTAACAAACCCTCCCCTCGCAATTAAACAAGCTGATTTCTGTTAAGTATGGTTGGGTCTTGCCAAGTGCTGTTCTAAACACTTACACTGGCAATGCCTTCTGGGCAGGTATCCATTGTCCCAGTCCCTGGTACGGCTGATGCTGGGAAATTCCCAAAGGCTGCCTGGTGGGACCAACAGAACCACATTGGCTCGTCCTTGCCCACATACTCACTAGCACCACAGGCCGCAGCATCTGAGTTTAACCCGGCATGCAGCAGCCCAGGAGATCAACATCCCAATGGGAAGAGATCAACATCCCAATGGGAAACCTCCTCTCCCTGCTGGGCCTGAGGGCTTTATCAACACTTCTTTCCCTCCTAATGGCCATGATTCATCACTGTTTGGCTGATGCTGAGGTAGCACCATAGCCTATTGCAGTGATCATCAACCAGTAGATCAAGATCTACTAGTAAATCTTGGCGCCTCTGACAGGTGATCATGACTGGTTGGCCAAGAGGCTATCAAGCACACTTCAGCTGCCCCTTTCCCCACTGCTGCGCATCTCCTGCCCTTTGCCTTAGAGCTGTCCTCTCCCCTGCTCCCCAGGAGCCTCCTGCATGCTGTGCAGAGCAGAGAAGGGAGAAGAGGGAGCGCTGATGTCAGGGTGCCCTCTCTCACCCTGTATTCTATCTTCACAGAACTGATGGGGGGCACAGAGCTTGGGATGGAAGGAGTGTGCTGGCTGCTTTTGAGAGTGGTGCAAGGCCAGGACAGGGGTGAGCCTGTCTTATCCCCACTGCACCACCACCCAGAAGCCACCTGAGGTAAGCTGTATCCAGCTGGAGCCAGAATCCCAAGCCCCTGTCCCAGTCATGAACCTCCTCCAACACCCCAAGACCCTGTCCTAGCCCTGAGCCCTTTGGTCCCAAACTCCCTTAGAGAGCTTGTACCCTTAGCCCCCTCCTACACTTCAACTGCCTGCCCTAGACTCAGCTCAGAGCCCCTCTCACACTCGAAATCCCTTAGCCCAAGACCAGACCCTGTGTCCCAACCCTCTGCCCCTGCCAGGTGAAAGGGAGGGAGAATGGGGGAGGGAGGGAGGAAGGAAGGATGGAGTGAGCAGAGGTAGGGCCTCCCAGAAGGGGCACAAAGGAGGTGGGGCAAGGATATTTAGGTCTGAGGTTGATCCTGGATTGCTCTTAAATTCAAAAAGTGATCTTTTTCTTAAAAAGGTTGGCAATCGCTGGTCTATTGGTTAGGGACCTGGACTGGGTTCAGGAAGACCTCAGCTCTAATGTGATCCTAGGCAACTTCCTTCACTGCTTTATGCCTTCGTTTCCCTTCACACCTTTAGTCTAGCTCAGGGCAGGAATTGTCCCTCACTGGACACTGTAGAGTCCAGATCGCATTTGGGGCCTGGAAGGGCTACTGTGATGGAAATAAAAATGATGAATTCTGTTAAACATTATTCTATTAAAAACTAGAGATTTTAACTTATCCATCTGCAGTCACAGAGATTGTCCGGAAATCCTTGGCTACGTCTAGACTGGCATGATTTTCTAGAAATGCTTTTAACGGAAAAGTTTTCCGTTAAAAGCATTTGTGGAAAAGAGCGTCTAGATTGGCATGGACGTTTTTCCGCAAAAGCACTTTTTGCGGAAAAGCGTCCGTGCCAATCTAGATGCGCTTTTGTCAGCATCTCAGATGATCCATTTTTGCCATCGGGGCTTTTTTGCGCAAAACAAATCTGAGCTGTCTACACTGGCCCTTTTGCGCAAAAGCTTTGCGCAAAAGGGACTTTTGCCTGAACAGACGCAGCATAGTATTTCCGCAAGAAGCACTGATTTCTTACATGAGATCGTCAGTGTTCTTGCAGAAATTCAAGCGGCCAGTGTAGACAGCCCTTGTGATTTACACCTCACTAATGGTTAGCACCTTCCCTTGTATAAAAAGCTCCCTCCTTTCACCAGTGGGAGCTGGGTTTGAAAAGGGTTCAGCATCTCAGTTTCCTGCATCTGGTACCTTTAAAGACTTGATATTTTACCTCTGTTGCCACCTGACCAGAGCATTTCTTTTGTTACAGCATCTCCCCTACCAGGAGGGCTTCACAGAGGTGACTGATGAGTCACATTGGGCCAGGGAACAGTGACATTAGCCTTTAACTAAAATCCAAAATTAGCCCAATTCGATTGGACAGCACTTCCCTACCTTGTACTCCCAGGCAGCCTCTTCTATGGGGAGCACCATGTGAGCGCGGTGAGCCCGGGCCTCTCTGCAGATCAGACAGATGGGGGCTTGATCCTCCTCGCAGAACAGCTTCAGCGCCTCCTGGTGCTCCTCACACATCCCAGCCCCTACTGCACCCTGCGCTGCTTGCAGGCTGGGCTGCTGGGCTATTGCCACCACATTGGCCAGCGGCCTGTTGGGCCGTAGGAGTCCCTGCTGCACAGAGTCTCCGCACTGCGGGCAGAAAGCGGCCAGGCTGGCTCCATCCCAGTACCGTCTGATGCAGGCCCGGCAGAAATTATGCCCACAGTCTGTGATCACTGGGTCCTTAAAATACTCCAGGCACAGGGTACATGTCGCTTCCTCCCTGAGACTTTCCACGGGGCTCCCTGTAGCCATGGCTCCCTTTGGACTGGGGAACTCACATGGTCAGTTTCAATTTCCTGCCCTGCGCCCAGCAACAACTGTCTGTTTCCTTTCCTGGGGCTGACTCAGGCTGTTTGCAAGGCTGCAGCCCTGGAGGCTTTAGTGAGAAATATCCCACTAGGGCACTGTCCCTGCCATCAGCCCCTGTACTGGTGGGGAGTTTCCCTGCAGCCCCCACCCCCTCACATGAGCCTGCAGGGGCTGGGTAAGCAGTGACATTCAGGCTGGCAGAATGCTGTTTTTTATAAATACATAATATTTCCAGGTGATTATTTTAAGCAATTTTTATACTTATTCTTCATTTAAATGTTCACAGTTGCACAAAAAAATGAGTTTTTAGCATTTAATACACATTTCATCCGTTTGCATTTTCTAATTGATGAGAAATCATTGGGGGGGGGAGAATCAGACAGGCTATGTCTACACTGCAGGTTTCTTGCACAAGAACAACCATTCTTCCGCAAAAACTTGCAGAGCCTCTACACTGCACGTGCATTCTTGCACAAGTAAATTTACAGTACAGCATCGGAACAGAGGGCTTCTTGTGCAAGAGTTATTCTTCTCCCCACAAGGAATAAGCCCTCTTGAGCATGAGCTCTTGTGCAAGAAGGCAGTGTGATGGGCAACAGGGGTTTCTTGCGCAAGAAACTCCTATGACTTAAATGGCCATCAGAGCTTTCTTGTGCAAGAGAGGGTCCACACTGCCATTGACGCTCTTGCGCAAAAGCACGTGGCAGTGCGGACGCACTCTTGCACAAGACCTTTTGCACAAGAACTCTTGTGCAAGAAGCCTACAGTGTAGACGTAGCCACACTGTTTTGATCAGACAATAATTATTGAAGGAGAGTAAGGTCAGATTCAAAAAGTCAAAGCTTTATAATCCTTCACCTACAGATTGTCCACAGCAAGGGTATGTCTAGACTGCATCCTTCTGTCGGCAGAGAGATGCAGATTAGGCAGGTCAACATTGCAAATGAGGCAGGGATTTAAATATCCTGTGCCTAATTTGCATTAAAATGACCACTGCGTTTTGCTGACTCAGCACTTTGTCGACAAAAAGTGGCGATCTAGCAGGGGATCTGTCAAGAAAGAAAGCCTTTTTCAACAGATCCTGTAAACCTCCTTGTATGTCTAGACATACCCCAAATGTCAAGATAAGCAAAGTGAATATTTGTAAATCAAAGTGTAGTAAATTCTCATGTAGCATTGTTCTTACTGTGCCCCTTGGTACATTTTAATTACTATCAATGGGAGTATTTTTTCATGGTTGATGTGTGGAGAGTGACATTGACATTTAGTGGCATTTGCAGATAAAGTCTAATCCTTCCAAACCTAAGGATGTGAAATTCACAGGCCAAAGCCTTGGTTAAGCTGGTGTCAATATTTCAAAGGCTGGATTGTCACAGACACTAAGGCTGTGTAGGACTACTCAATGTGTGGCCTGTTTGTTTGCAGCCCACGGTGCAGTTTGGGTTTACACAGTGCTCAACACGCAGCCTGCAGGTAGGATCCTTTGAACGTGGCCTCCATTGGGAACACATTCCACAGTGGAGAAGTGTCTCCCATGCACAGGGGACATGGAAAGAGGCAAGCAGGAGGGCAGGCTGGCTGGAACAGATGGGTGTTGGTGTTTCCTGCCCCCAAGGAGGAGATGCCAGGAGCGCCGGGGCACTGTGGGAAGTGCTTTGTGTGCATGCCTGTCAGTGTGAAAGAAACTATTTGCATATATATTTGCATGTCTATGCAACCATGCAAGTTGCGGCCCTTGGCATGTAGTGAGCATCATTGTGCCCCCCCCCCAAGGCTGAGTAGCCCTGGTGTAATGAGTCTTAACAATAATTGGCAGGTTTGTTAAAGCCTCAGCCCCTAGAAACCTGGGATGAGGGGAGACTATTGGGCTATGTCTACACTCGTGGCTTCTTGCGCCAGAAATATGCAAATAAGGCCAAGCATGGAATATCGCCACGCCTCATTTGCATACCTAATGAGCCATCATTTTTGCAGAAGAGGCTCTTGCGCCAGAAGGAGCTGTCTACACTGCCCCTTCTTGCGCCATGCCGCTACGCCGATTACTTTTCGGGAAGACCGGCATTGCACAAGAGGGTTGTTCTTGCGCCAGAAGGGGCAGCGTAGACGCGCCTTCTGGCACAAGAGCCTCTTCCGCAAAAATGACAGCTCATTAGGTATGCAAATGAGGCTGGGGAATATTCCACTTCGCCTCATTTGCATCTTTCTGGTGCAGGAAGCCACCAGGGTGGATTTTGTGCCCTGGGTTTTGTGCTCTGTCTGTGCAGCCCACAGGGCTGGGCAGGTGGAGGGTGAATATGTGCGCCCCGCCCCGCGTGGGGGACAAGGAGCTGCCCCCCC